AACGCCGGTGACCATTGTCATCACTACCAACACCAGTGACCATTGTCATCACGACCAACACCTGTGGCCATTGTCATCACTACCAACACCAGTGACCATTGTCATCACTACCAACACCAGTGACCATTGTCATCACGACCAACACCAGTGACCATTGCCATGACTACCAACACCAGTGACCATTGTCATCACTACCAACACCAGTGACCATTGACATCACGACCAACGCCGGTGACCATTGTCATCACGACCAACACCAGTGACCATTGTCATCACGACCAACACCTGTGGCCATTGTCATCACGACCAACACCGGTGACCATTGTTATCACGACCAACGCGAGTGACCATTGTCATCACGACCAACACCAGTGACCATTGTCATCACGACCCAACGCCAGTGACCATTGTCATCACGACCAACGCGAGTGACCATTGTCATCACGACCAACACCAGTGACCATTGTCATCACGACCAACACCAGTGACCATTGTCATCACGACCAACACCAGTGACCATTGTCATCACGACCAACGCCGGTGACCATTGTCATCACTACCAACACCAGTGACCATTGTCATCACGACCAACACCAGTGACCATTGCCATCACGACCAACACCAGTGACCATTGTCATCACGACCAACACCAGTGACCATTGTCATCACTACCAACACCAGTGACCATTGTCATCACGACCAACGCGAGTGACCATTGTCATCACGACCAACACCAGTGACCATTGTCATCACGACCAACACCGGTGACAATTGTCATCACGACCAACACCTGTGGCCATTTTCATCACGACCAACACCAGTGACCATTGTCATTACGACCAACACCGGTGACCAATTTCATCACGACCAACGCGAGTGACCATTGTCATCACTACCAACACCAGTGACCATTGTCATCACGACCAACATCAGTGACCATTGTCATCACGACCAACACCGGTGACCATTGTCATCACGACCAACACCAGTGACCATTGTCATCACGACCAACACCGGTGACCATTGCCATCACGACCAACACCAGTGACCATTGTCATCACTACCAACACCAGTGACCATGGTCATCACGACCAACACCAGTGACCATTGTCATCACTACCAACACCAGTGACCATTGCCATCACGACCAACGCGAGTGACCATTGTCATCACTACCAACACCAGTGACCATTGTCATCACGACCAACACCAGTGACCATTGTCATCACGACCAACACCTATGACCATTGTCATCACGACCAACGCCGGTGACCATTGTCATCACTACCAACACCAGTGACCATTGTCATCACGACCAACGCCAGTGACCATTGTCATCACGACCAACGCCAGTGACCATTGTCATCACGTTCGTACACTGCCAGTGGCGCTTGCTGCAGCAGCAGCAGTCCGTGCGTGGCTAATTGGCCGAAGCGGGGACTAGGCCAACTCTTTTAGGCGGAGCGTAAAAGATTTGGCAACGAAATCGCGCGTCGAGAGCGTTTTCGGGATCTCACCAACCCCGACTCGCAACACGGCGCGTCAGCTCACGGGTGACTTACTCGGATGCCGCGTAGCTCGCACCGCATAGATCCCTCGTCTCGTGCCATCTACAACCAATTTCTTTTGCAAATGAGATGCGCGTGCATGTGTGAAAGCGTGCGTACGCGTGTGTGTGTGGGCATGCAATGTACCGGCCAAGACCGGTGTGACGATTATTTGAACCGGTCCTGGGCCTCCCCTAGGTCGACTCAGCCTCAAATCAATACCAGGTGCGGTGTGGAAACATCGCCCAACAGTCTGTTAAGGATACACGGGGGATCTTTGTCTTGGTGTGTGGGAAGCAGTCGTGCAGCGGTTAGCGCTACGCTGCGCTACGAACCCGGCCACCCGAGTTCGAATCCCGCTCACGGCCAACACCAGTGTGACGATTATCTGAATCGGTCCTGGGTGTCCCCTGGGTCGACTCAGCCTTGAATGAGTCCCTGGTGCGGTGTGTTAATGAGCATCACTGGGGAGACAAAGGCGGCCGGGCGTGGTCTTTCTAATCACAACATATCGGCGCTGTAATAGGTACTCGCTAATAGCACTTGCCTCGAGATGCTTCAGGCGGATTTTTTGCGCACAATACATTGTATGTGTATGCATGTGTTTAGAAGTGTTTGTGTGTGTGTGTGTACCCGTGTTTGTGTGTTGCTGTATTGTCCGGCTATAAGACGCACTAAACACCCCCCCACCACCCCCATGCATTTTAAAGCAAAACTTTTGGTGCGTCTTATAATCCGGTACAAATGCGATTTTTTTTTAAAGAATATTGTAAGCCTCAACTAAAGTTGAGGCTTAAAGGTCGCGGTCTGAGCTTGGCTGTGTTCGCTCCAGCGCTGTCCTCGAGACAGTCTCGTCCCTTCACCTGATGAAGGCCACTTGTGTTGTGGCCGAAACGTCGTGAGAATTTTATTGTGTTATTTTATTTTATCAATTTATTCTCATTCTACGTGACTTTACCGAAAGAACCAAAGAAGATGAATCCTTGCAGTCACGAAAGCTTTAAATCGAAATGTTGTAACACTTTGTGATTATTATTATTATTTGAAGCCCATAAGTTGCACTCGAGCTTTGTGTGTGTCTGTGCTTTTTGTTATTGTAACCTCCTGCCCCGCCCCCGGACTGGGCATGCGTGAATAAGAGCTTTGCAGCTCATCAGATTCCGCCGTTCCACAAACGCCACTGTTCGTGTCACTGTTCATCTGATGCCCGCTTACGAATCTGGTAGTCGCCAAACACGTTTGAACAATACTCTTTGAGTCTTTCGGTAAAGTCACGTAGATAGAAAAATAAAACATAATAAAAAATAAAAATGTTTCTACGTGACTTTTCCTGCAGTCACGAAAGCTTCAAATCACGTTGGAACAATTCACGGGGCAGTCTCCAACTCCCCAACTCTCATCGTCCACTCTCCTCCATCCCTCCACTAACCTCTTCGCGTATTCGCCATGGAGGTGGGCCTTTGCACCGAAACGTCGCAGTGGGGATTTTTTTTTACAAATGAGTTAAGTTTATATATGTACTGTATTTTATAAACTAGTATATTGAGCGCGGGATCAGATCTCGTGTCATTTTATGTACATCGAGCACAACAACAAGTTTTTGGGTGGGTGTTATTTTACGGAGCGCCTTATAACCCGGAGAATACGGTGTGTGCGTGTGTGTACGCGTGTGTTTGTACGTGTGTACGTGTGTGTGTGTACGTGTGTGTACGTGTGTGTGTACGTGTGTGTGTGTACGTGTGTACGTGTGTATGTGTACGTGTGTGTACGTGTGTGTACGTGTGTGTGTGTGTGTACGTGTGTATGTGTACGTGTGTGTACGTAGTGTGTATGTGTGTACGTGTGTGTACGTGTGTGTGTGTGTACGTACGTGTGTGTGTATGTATGCACGTGTGTGTATGTGTACTTACGTATGTAGGTGTGTGTACGTGTGTGTATGTATGCACGTGTGTGTGTATGTATGCACGTGTGTGTACTTACGTGTGTACGTGTATGTGTACGTACGTGTGTATGCACGTGTGTGTGTACGTGTGTGCGGTAGTGTAGCGGTTAGCGCGCTGCGCTACAAACCCGGCGACCCGAGTTCGATTCCCGCTCACGACCAACACCAGTGACGATTATCAGAACCGGCCCTGGGCCTCCCTTAGGTCGACTCAGCCTCAAATGAGTACCTGGTGTAGCGGTGCGTAGGAAACTTCGCCACTGAGGGTGACAAAGACGGCCGGGCGTGGTGTTGACCACCCACCCCCTCGTGTGCCTTGCCGGCCTTCATAGGTGCTCGCTAACATCACTTGCCCCAACAGTCTGTTATACTGGGGGATCTTTGTATTTTGCACGTGTGTGTGTGTACATACGTGTGCGTGTATGTATGTATGTACGTGTGTGTATACGTGTGTTTATGTAGGTGTGTACATACGTGTGTGTAACAATGATTCAAATGTATCATGCGCATTCCATCCTAGGATCTCAATGCGCAATGCGTGACCATCAGGGAACATAAAGAGAACCAGGGTAACCGACCAAACTCAAGAGGGAAGTCTCAGAATACGGCCTGTACGTGTATGTGTGTACGTGTGTGTGTGTACATACGTGTGTGTGTGTATATGTACGTGTGTGTACGTGTGTGTGTGATGGGGTTTTACAAGCAGACTTAAATATATCCACCGACTCGCCTGAGTTCAAGTGGCAAGGCGTTCTAAAGCTTTGTGGGAGTGCTGAGCAGTCGGAGATCGGAATATCAAAAGGACCTTGATGGAATACAATAAATGCATTAGTTCCTGGTTAATATCAGTATCTGCAAATGTACAAACGTGTGCGTGCGCGTGTGTACGTGTGTGTACCTGTGTACGTACATGTGTGTATTAGTGTACCTACATGTGTGTACGTGTGTGTGTACGTGTGTGTGTGTGCATATATGTGGGGAGCGGTAGTGTAGCGGTCAGCGCGCTGCGCTACGAAACCTGGCCACCCGAGTTTGATTCCCGCTCACGGCCAAATTCAGTGACGATTCTCTGAACCGGTCCTGGGCCTCCCCAAAGTCTCAAATGAGTACCTGGTGCGATGTGCAGTAAACATTGCCACTGGGGATACAAAGGCGGTCGGGCGTTGTGCTGGCCACCCACCCCCTCGTGTGCCGTGCCAGCCTTCATAGGTGCTCGCTAAGCAGCACTTGCCCCAACAGTCTGTTTAAGCTATACGGGGGGGTCTTTGTTTTTGTCGTGTGTATGTGTACGGGTGTGTGTGTGTGTGTGGATGTGGTGCTGGCCACCCACCCCCTCGTGTCCCGCGCCGGCCTTCATAGGTGCTCGCTAAGCCGCTAAGCAGCACTTGCCCCGACAGGCGACGCGGTTGAAGGCCACACAGGGAGGGGGGGGGGAGCTTCGTCTCGTACCAAGTCGGTAACGGAATTACATCACGAGTCGCTCATGAAACCGTCTCTCTTTTATAGATATATAAAGATGTCTCGCGACAGCCCGCTGCGAGTCCACTCTCATAGCGCACGCGGCACGCAACACATCGGGGTGATTCCGTTCCCGTAAATCTGCCGCGTATGCATAATAAAGTATACGCGTATAGAATTGCATATATAATATCCCTATTTAAAAAAAAAAGATTACGTGGTTCGCACGGTTCTTGTGTTGCCGCCTACTCACCTGTAGCATCTCTGACATCCATAACTTCGTCTTCATCATCATCATGGCCATCATCATCATTACCGTCACCATCATCATCATCACACGCTTTGGCAAATCGCGTAAGCGGCTATGGCTAACTGATGAAATCACTCAAAGTTGCGTGATCGATTCCGGTCCTATATATATCTCTCTCTCTCGAAACAAAATAATCGAGCTACATACACATCGTCACTACCAGCCGCGTAAAAATCGTAAACTCTGATTGACTTAAAAATATGTTTTTTTAAACGGTTGCTATATAAATAATTCAATATAAACGATGCGAGTGAGGGTGTTTTAAATTGCCTCACAGTTGGTTAAATAAAGGGCATTGTAATACTGTATATAGTACGTACGTGTATATTAAAGCAAATAAGTGTGTATATAGATAAACGGCATCGCCCCCGCCATAGGAATATGGAATGTCCACCGTTGGCTTAGGAATGTATTTCGCCCCATCCATACCACCCCTCGTCCCATGTTATAGTCTATCTCTTTTTCCACTGGCATAACGGAGCCATGCCGGGGTCATTGCAAGCCGCAAGGCGCCAGCTCGTTATTTTGTTTCCACTGCAAAAGCCGAGCCGTGCCGCTCCACGTCACACCCCTGGCCCTGCTTGGCCCCGAGCGAGATTTTCCAGTGTCTTCGTGGACAGAGCAGAGTCGCACCAGTTTGGGTTTTCGGATCAGCTCGGCAAATCGCCAGTGGGTAAATAACCCGTACCGTGGGGGAACCGTGCTGGCGCGGTTTGGACGTGCCAGTGGAAAAGAGATGTGCATTAACTTGACCCTGCGGGGTAATGATTCACTCAGCACCTGCGATGTGATTATATATTTATATTAAAGCTGTGCTGTGTAAGTGTTAATAATGGCTACGTACAGGACACAATTTCAATAAATATAATTTTCTTGAGAATTATTTCGATTTTTCTTTCAATTTAGATTCAAAATGTTGGCGCGGGCAAAGAGCCAATCAACGGTGGCTCGCAATGACAAAGCGGAAGTCTTTAACGTCCGCCTCAACGGCAGACGGTGGGCTTTGGTAATGAATGAACGTAATCACGAACGCTGGAGCTTTCACCTGCAGCACAGAAGTCCAACTGCGGATGGTCGGAGGGTTGACTTATTCAGCCCATCATCTCTCCCGGGGGGGAGGTCGATACATTCAGTACCATCACTCCACTCATAGTCAAAAACTCGACAGCGGTTGTCCTCCGAGCAGGGCCGTGTGGGGGGGGGGGGGGTGAGGCCGGACGCCTTCAAACTAAACCGGAAGTATTAGATCTGACACCGGTGAAGTCGAAGCGCTGCTCCCCCTCCCCAAAACCGCGGGGCCCGGGGCGGTTCCCCCCCCTCCCCCCCCCCCCCCTCGATTCGTCGTACCCTAGGGACGGCTCTGCCAACGAGGTTACTGGCCCTCGTCATAAAAACGTGGAATTTCCACCAATAGCCTGTGGGTCACCAACTGTGCTCGCGGACGCACGCGGTGACGATTTGTAGTAATGACAGCGTTCATTCGCCAACCACGCTCGACTGAGCACTCTCCACCGCCACCGCCGCTGCCGCCCCCTGCCCCCCATCTTCTCCAAATGTCAGCGTCGGGGTCGGATTCCGGGTTGGGGTCGCGGCCACTGCGGGGGGTCTCTGCCGCACCACCTCGTCGTCCTCCTCCTCCACCTCCACCAAATCCTCCCCCTCCTCCTCTTCCCGGTCTTCCGCCTCGTCCATCGCCGCCTCCTCCAGCTGCTCCACCAAGAAGCCCAGCGGCTGCTCCACGAGTAGGAGGCCTCTCGTCGTCGGGGCCGCTTCCCTGCCCCCCACCCCCTTCCTGCACGGGCACGGAGCCAGCGAGGGCAGCAGGAGGCTCTCCACGCTGAAGGGGATCACGGCTCGGCGCTTAGGGGTCCGGCACCCCGGGGAGGGGTCTGCGGGTGGGGATGGGTGGCGAGGGGATCTGGTGGACCCCTGCTGCTCCTGCTGCTGCAGGTGCTGTCCATGGTGCTGCTGCCCCTGCTGCTCCTCCTCCTGCTGCAGGTGCTGTCCATGGTGCTGCTGCCCCTGCTGCTGCTGCTCCTGCTGCTGCTGCTTTCTCCTCTTCTTGTCGCGCCGCTGCCGCTCCCTGCGGGCGATCTCGGCGGGGTCCATGGGCTCCCCGCTGCACGTGAGTGGGTGGGCGTTGTGCGCCGGTCTGCCGGGTCCCTTGCGCGTGTTCTCCTTCTTGCGCCACTTGGCGCGCCGGTTCTGGAACCACACCTGAAGGGGGGCAGGCGGGAAGGGAGGGGAAAGGAGGGGAAGGGATGTGAAAGAGGGAGGGGAAAGGGAGGCGTAACGGGATGGAAGAAAAGGAGAGGGGGAGAGGCAGGGATGGAGGGATATGGATGGCGACGAGGGTGAGGGAGCGAGGACGAGGGGGGGACGGAGGGAGGGAAATACATCGGAGGCGAGGAAAGGTGAGAACGCGAGCGAGGGAAATTAGTGGAGGGAAAGAGGTAGAGAGGAGGGAGCGGGGGTGGTCGCGGGAGGGGAGGGAGAGAGCAAAAGAGAGATTTGCAGAGTTAAGCATGTATGCAAAGAGGTGAGCAAATCACTTAACTCACGTGCATGCACTGCATACGTATACGCAAAGACCTAGGTGATGGTATAGTGAGTAAATAAAGAGATAACCAGGTACACAGACGGATGAGCACACAACCAGAGAGAAATTGACAAACACACACAGAGGGAAGGCGGCCAAGCGGATAGATCAATGTGGAGATGGAGCAGGATCGCCATGGATGGAAGCAACCAGCGCTGCAGCATATTAGGGGAGGCCTCCATCTAGCAGTGGAGAGACCGTGGCTCATGATGATTATGGTGGTGGGGAGGAGGCCTTCATCTAGCAATGGATCGACCATGGCTGCTGCTGCTGATGATGATGCTGATAATGAATTTTAGTTGGTAAAACTGATTTATATTTTGTTCCACGGTAAATTGACAGTTGATTGCATTTACGGTGTAAGGAAAAAAAAGCCGATCATGCTGACGAAAAAATAAATAACTTAACAGACCCAAAAAACACATAGATGATCAAAACCGCGCCCACGGTATAGATGGCAAACGGGCAGACAGCGAGAGTCGAGTAAACACAAGAGACGTAAGCAAGCGTCGCGACGGCTCATAACGGCGGCGGCAAGTAAACGAACGCACGCACGTGGAGCGACGGTGTCAGAGTGGACGTGGTGCACTGCTCAATAGAGCCACATCTCCTTGTTTAGAGGCCCTGAGCCGGTGGTGGAAATTCTACGCTCCTATGGCAGAAGGAAAGAGTTTATCCATAGAGCAGACCAACTGTTGACTCCCCCCCCCCCTAATAAGTGGGTCTCATTTTTATCGACCCCCCCCCCAGAAGGGATGATGGGCTGAGTGCCTTCCGGGTGCATAAACTGAGTCTACCGCGATTCTATGCGATGGAGAGCTTTTACTTCCCCGCCATAATTTAATTATTCATTTAAACATCACTTATTAGAGCTAATACGATTCATAATAAAAACAAATCCACACTAACTCGGGAATAAAAGCTGATTCGAAACTGAGAGTTTAGAAATCTCAATGTCCGTGTTTATTTCCTAACTCCATAATATTGCACTAGAAACGATTGCATGCGTTTGCAAATAGTGTACGGGTGTTTGCAGAGACCATTGTCAATAGTGTACACCGCTGAATGGTTGACTTTACTTCACCACGTTGGTCAATGTGGGTCGGGAATCGAAATCGGGTCACTGCAAGGTTAGTGTGCAAGTGCGCTAACCGTTGCGCCACCGCTCCCTTCACTCCCCCCCCCCCCCCATTAGTTATATTTTATGATAAATATTAGAATGTTGAAACAAATAAAACACATACGTATTGTGTTGTTGCAATTGTATTGTCTTGATAATTACATTAATTACATTAATTTAAGGTTAAGCTTCAACATTGTTGATGGTGAAATTAAATTATATATTTTAATACGCACAGAAAAAACTCAAATAATGTGCATCACAATTAATAATTTACTGTGGGGGGTTGGGGGGGTTAGGCGACGTAGAATAATAATATTTCCAAATTTGTGTTGTAAGACCTTCCACCACCCGACACAGCCAAAACACTTAGAGTACATTGTTTAACAATGCACTGAACCCGGTGATTTAAACAACCAACAGGTTCTTACAACCAAAAATACGAGCAAATTTACCACGATTATATATTTTTTGTCAAATTTTAACTTTTACCATAATGGAACATAATCGTGAATCTTATTTTAAAATGATAGTTCGATGTAATTTTTACCATAACAAATGTCAATATGCATGAAATATTTCTACGTTTATACGTTGCACAAAAAGGTAAAAATTGTGATATTTACTGCACCACTGTTGTCATAAATGATGGAAAAATCTTCAATATTGCTGCAGCTCTCTCGTTCATTGAAAAAAACATCTAAATAATTGTCAACTTTAATACAGTACTGGCCATCATAGTAAAACTAATTTATATTATGCATGTTTGTCTAGGCCATACACAATTACAGTAAAATATTTCTAACTAAAATTTGTATTATATTGTTCACAGTAGTTTACAATACACACACAGATCACTTTACCGTTATTATTGATGATAAAACAATTAATGTATAGTACTGAAAAAAATATTCGGTAAACACTTTACCATAGCCGTTATTATGGAGGTAATTTTGTTTTGACAAAAAGTTAATAGGATCAACAATAAATGTAAACTAAACTATGAAACCCATTTTTTTATTTTACCCGGTAAGGCTGTTTAGCTTTTTTCAGAAGCGACATGGCCACAAATGGTAGCTCAACGAAGTTGGCTTATCATCATGTAGAAATTTATAGCAGCAAAATACAGTCCTCTAAACGCAAGTTGATTCTAAATGTGGAGGGAAAAACCGGAGGACCCGGAGAAAAATCCACGTGACCACTGGGAGAACATACAAACTCCAAATATACAGCAGGCGTCCGAGACGGGATCAAACCCACGACCTCCTGCATACCAGGCGAGGTAGTTAACATCTCGCCACAGTGGCAACAAATTTTTTTTTTACCACTTAAAGTTCATAGTTATCATCAATATCATCTTCATCAGCAGTCGTGATAGATCCACTGCTAGACAACGGCCTCCTCCCCATCATAAACATGAGCCATGGTTTATCTACTCCTGGATGAAGGCCTCCTCCCCATCATCATCATCATCGTGAGCCCATGGTCCATCCACTGTTGGACGATTGAATCACTCCCTCTCCTCGGTGGTGGCCCACCCCATCGGAACGGCTTCCATTTGTATTCTTGGTTCTTTCGGTAAAGTCACGTAGAAGGGAAACAATAAAATAATAAAAATATAAAACAATAAAATTGTCAATTTGCTTTGTTTGCCCGCTCCGTTACCACCCTTGGCCCGGCAAGAGTGTGTCATCATTTGGTGAAAGTAGACATCTACCGAGACGGCAATGCCCTACGCTAACACCGCACGTGCCACGCGGAGTGAACTACGTAATTCGTGCCAGTGCTTTACCGACGTAGAGGAGCGGTGTCGCTCAGTGGTTTGTGCAGTGCCCCGGGAAAGACAACAACAACAAATCCGCACGGGCTACCTCGCTCACCGTCGATTCCTGGCCACGGCTAACATCAGTGGTGGCTCTGTGAACCGCTCCCGGTGGATCTATCTGTCCCACGGTCGACGTAGCCTCACATTAATGCCCGGTTCGGCGCGTAAATAACCATCGACCCTGGGAATACAAAGGCGGTCGGGCGTGGCGCTGGTCACCCAATCCGCCCTCCCATCCGTGTGTCTTACCAGCTTTCATCTCGTGCGACTCGCTAACGGCACTGGGGATACAAAGGCGGCCGGGCGTGGCGCTGACCACCCATCCAACCCCTCCCCTAAGTGTGCCGTACCAGCTTTCATCTCGTGCGACTCGCTAACGGCACTGGGGATACAAAGGCGGCCGGGCGTGGGGCTGACCACCCATCCAACCCCTCCCCTAAGTGTGCCGTATCGCCACCCCACCGCAGCCCCAACGGTCTGTTGAGGCTGCACGCGGGGCGCCTTCGTCTTGCGCCACGTGGTGTTCGTTCACCTGCACGCGGGACTCCAGCAGGTCGAGGCGAAGCGCCAGCGCCTCGCGCATGAACACGTCCGGGTAGTGGCTGCCCGCGAACGCGCGCTCCAGCTCCTCCAGCTGCCAGCCGGAGAAGTTGGTTCGGGTTCGACGCCTCTTGCAGGCGCGCAGACCGGGGTCCGGGGAACCTGGCTCGGAGGGAGAGCAGGGGTCGCGATTATTATCATCATCATCACCATCACATTTGTACCTTGCTGATCTCGTCAAGGGGCATAAACCATCATCGCGCCAACTCCGCTCATCTTCGCAGCAGCAGCGGCTTTTGATGAACCGTCGAACAAAGACGGCGGTCACCGCGTCGCGCGCTTTCAGACGCGCTTTGGCGGCCGTCTGGAACGCTCTTCCTTCCGATATTAGGAAGTCACCAGAGCTATGCACTTATTCTTATAGATTGAAAACTCATCTCTTTAGAACCGCTTTTCGTGATTAATTTGTTGTCCTTCCCGAGCACCTCCGATTATCACGGTTGGCTACGTACGGTGCGAAAGAAGTTCAACTTACATACGTGGGAAGTACATGGAGCGCCGTAATGTTCACCATTTATATACAAATATAACCCTGACCCTCACCCCTCACACGAACCCATCATCCTATCTCCTACTAACCACAAACTTTAACCCCTAACCGTAACGCTAGCCCTAGACACTAATTATAACCCCTGACCCTAACCCCTCATTATAACCCTTAACCCTAACTCTGACCCAGAACGCTCGCCGTTAACCCCGGAAAGTGAATATTCGGTTCGGGACCTGGCTCCCGTGTCTGTGCGTAGTCTCCGTGTCTCTGTGCGTACTCTCCGTGTCTCTGTTTCTCCGTGTCTCTGTGCGTAGTCTCTGTCTCGGTGTCCACGTGTCTCTGTGCGTAGTCTCTGTGTCTCTGTGCGTAGTCCCCGTGTATCTGTGCGTAGTCTCCGTGTCTCTGTTTCCCTGTGTCTCTGTGCATAGTCCCCGTGTCTCTGTGCGTAGTCTCTGTCTTGGTGTCCACGTGTCTCTGTGCGTAGTCCCCGTGTCTCTGTGCGTAGTCTCCGTGTCTCTGTGTCCCCGTGTCTCTGTGCATAGTCCCCGTGTCTCTGTGCGTAGTCTCCGTGTTTTTGTGGCCCCGTGTCTCTGTGCACAGTCCCCGTGTCTCTGTGCGTAGTTCCCGTGTCTCCGTGTCCCCGTGTCTCTGTGCATAGTCCCCGTGTCTCTGTGCGTAGTCTCCGTGTTTTTGTGGCCCCGTGTCTCTGTGCACAGTCCCCGTGTCTCTGTGCGTAGTCTCCATGTCTTTGTGTCCCCGTGTCTCTCTGCGGAGTCTCCGTGTCTCTGTGCGTAGTCTCCGTGTTTATGTGCATAGTCCCCGTGTCTCTGTGCGTAGTGTCCGTGTCTCTGTGTCCCCGTGTCTCTTTGCGTCGTCTCCGTGTCTCTCTGCGGAGTCGCCGTGTTTCTGTGTCCCCGTGTCTCTGGGCGTAGTCCCCGTGTCTCTGTGCGAAGTCTCCGTGTCTCTGTGCGTAGTCTCCGTGTTTATGTGCATAGTCCCCGTGTCTCTTTGCGTAGTCTCCGTGTCTCTGTGTCCCCGTGTCTCTCTGCGGAGTCTCCGTGTTTCTGTGTCCCCGTGTCCCTGGGCGTAGTCTCCGTGTCTCTGTGCGTAGTCCACGTGTCTCCGTGTCTCTGTGCGTAGTCCCCGTGTCTCTGCATCGTGTCCCCCTTCACATAACTCTTATCCCTGCGTCACTGTCCCATTTTCCCGTGTCCCCGTCACCCCGCGTCTTTAGTCGTCCCACGTCTCCGCGTCCCTACGTATTGTGTCCCCGCGCCTTTGTCCCGCGTGCCCCGAAACTCTGTCCAACGTTTCCTCCACGTCTCGATCTCTTATCGCCGTCTCTCACATCCCATGCGTGTCCCTGTGACCCCGTGTCCTTTGACCCCGGTGTCAGCGCGTGCCTGTCCCTCGGTGTCCGCCGTGTCCGTCTCCCCGTGTCCCCGACGTCTCTCACCCGCGCACGTGGAGCCCGCACTCGTCGTCTCGTCACCTACTCCGCGGACCCCGAAGCTCGCGGGTTCGAACCCGGGCCCAGTCGCGCTCCCCAGGACCTGAAACCCGCCCGGGACCGCGGCCAGGGGAAGCTGAAGTTGATGCTGATGGTGCTGCTGCTGCTGCTGCTGGTGATGATGGTGCTGGTGATGATGCTGTTGATGCTGATGGAGGTGTTGTTGGTGGTGCTGTTGGTGGTGGTGGGGGTGGTGGGGATGGTGGTGGTGATGGTGGTGGTGATGGTGTTGATGGTGGAGATGATGATGCGGATGAGGAAGGTGTTGATGGAGCATTGTCGTGCCGGGTGCGCGCAGCAGCTGCTGCTGGTGACGATGATGACTATGATGGTGATTATGATGATGATTATGATGGTGATTATGATGATGATTATGATGGTGATTATGGGCTATTGCGTTATGATGGTGATTATGATGATGATTATGATGGTGATTATGGGCTATTGCGTACTGATGCTGCTGATGATGATTATGATGATGGAACCGAAGTTGCTTCTGCCGATGCTGCTGTTGTTGTCGTTGCTGCTGGTGATGATTATACTGACGGTGATGATGGCAATACTATCGCTGCTGTTACTTCTGCTGCTGATGATAACGGAACGGCAGTTCCTCCTTCTGCTGCTGATGTTGCTGTTGTTGCTGAAGCTGCTGTAATTAAATTTTCTTCTGCAGCTGATGATGATTACGGAACAGTCGCTGCTCCTGCTGATGCTTTTTAACCTGCTGTTGCTACTTCCACTGCTGCTGTTGCTGCTTCAACTTATTATTTCTTGTGCTGTTGCTTGCTGCTGCTGCTGCCCAGACAGGTCGCGCCGTCCCTCAGATCTCTGATGGAAGGTAGTGATGGTGGAGGTGATGGTGGTGGTGGGTGGTGGAGGGTGATGTTTGAATGATTGAGGTGGTGGGTGGGTGGGTGGGGGGAGCTGCGTTCGACAGGGTGGTGGGACGAGGAGGTGGGAGGGCGGGGAGGGGGGAGGCGGTGTGGGAGTCTGCGGGGTGGGAGAGGGGAGGGGGTCCCCTTGGTCGGGAAGGAGGAGGGGGTGGGGGGGAGTCAAGGGGAGACGGAGGAGGTGAGGGTGGCTGCGGCTGTGTAGGGGTGGCGTGGTACGCGGAGGAGGATGAGAGTGGGTGGTGGTGGTGATGATGCCGTTGCTGCTGCTGCTACTAATGTTATTATTGTGGTTGTGATTATGATGGTGGTGGTGGTGACGGTGCCGCTGCTGCTGCTACTACTAATGTTATTATTGTGGTTGTGATGATGGTGGTGGTGGTGACGGTGCCGCTGCTGCTGCTGCTACTACTAATGTTATTATTGTGGTTGTGATGATGATGACGATGGTGGTGGTGGTTGCGATGGTAGAGGCAAGCAGGCAAAGGAGCGACGCTCACAACGACGAGCAGAGCGTCCCGGCGGATAAAACGCAGCATGTGGGTGGAGCGCATGTGGTGCATCTGGGAGTCTTTATTGGGAAATTATTGGCTGACGAAGTAGTGAAGGAGCTGGAGCTGCGTGGACCTGCCGATGACCGGTACCTGCGGTGTCAAGATCGGCTTCGAAAAGGAGGAGGAGGCTCGTGAAGGACGCTGCTGCTGCTACTGGGCAGTTGGAGGCAGTCGCCCTCCAGCAACAGCGGAGGGCGGAGGAGCGACGCTCACAACAACGAGCTGAGCGCCGGACGGATTAAACCCCCCCCCCCCCCCCCCCCAGCAAGTGACACAACCGCACGCGTCTGCCGATCAACGCAACCAGTTACGCCACAACACTCTGGGTCTGCTTAGTAGCCTCCTGTCAGCAGCGAGTTTTTTGTTTGTTTTTACTTCACGTGGCATTAAAGTGCACCTAGCCTGGCACAAAGCGTCGTGGTTGACGTCTCCGCGACCCCATTTGGCGGTTGTTGTTGTTGTTTTACGATGCTGGTGATGGTCATCGTTTGTGTGGTGCCTCGATGGTGCCGCTGCTGTTCGTGGATGTGGAGTTGGTGGCGTCGTGAGGGGGTCGTGGTGGTCATGTGGTGGTTATGGTGTTGCTGATGGCCGTGGTGATGATGATGGTGGTGGTGGTGATGAGTGGAGCTGTGATGGCCGTGGTGATGGTGGTGAGTTGAGCTGTGATGGCCGTGGTGATGATGATGGTGGTGGTGATGAGTGGAGCTGTGATGGCCGTGGTGATGATAATGATGGTGGTGGTGATGAGTGGAGCCTTGATGGCCGTGGTGATGATGATGGTGGTGGTGGTGGTGATGAGTGGAGCTGTGATGGCCGTGGTGATGATGATGATGGTAGTGGTGGTGGTGATGAGTGAAGCTGTGATGGCCGTGGTGATGATGATGGTGGTGGTGGTGATGAGTGGAGCTGTGATGGCCGTGGTGATGATGATGATGATGGTGGTGATGAGTGGAGCTGTGATGGCCGTGGTGATGATGATGATGGTGGTGGTGATGAGTGGAGCTGTGATGGCGCCTTATTGTGGTGATGCCCATGGTTGAGGTGATGGTGGTGGTGGTTGCGGGTGTAGTTGTAGTGATTATTATTGGTGGTGATGGTTTAAATGTTGGCGGTCGTTGCTGTGGTATTTGTAGTGGTGATTGTGGTTGTAGCGGTTGCAGTGATTGTAGTGGTGGTTCTGATGCTTGTGGTTGTCGTTGTGAAGGTTGTTGTGGCAGGGTGCTTGTTGTGGTGGTTGTGCTGATGGTAGATGTGGCGATGGTTGTGGTGGTTGGGGTGATTGTTGCAGTGCTTGATTGTTGTGGTGGCTGTGATGATGGTGGTCGTGGTGACGGTTTGAGTGGTTGGTGTGATTGTTGCGGTGATTGTGCTGATAGTGGTTGTGCTGGTGGTTGTGCTGATGGCGGTTGTGGTTTCCGTGTGGGATGGTGGGAGCCGTTCGACTGATGCTGGCTCTGGAGTCCACGACTCTCACGTGGGGGGAGGGGAAATGGGAGGGGAGCGGTTGAGTGAGGGGGTGGCCTTTGTAGAGGTTTTAAAGGGAGGTTATTTATTATAATAGTGCACTCAACTCATCCAAGAAATCGTCACCGAGTCTCAAGACTCATTTTCAGGAGGGTCCTGCTGTATTGAAATGTTTTGGCCAATTCCATGAATCGGAGAGCCACCAGAACCAATAACTAAAAAAACAACGCTCAGAACTCTGCACGGACAGATTCAAGAATCCATCTATATGCTGAGTGCATCTTCTGGTCACCACCCTCGGCAACGCAAGCCCCCATCCCAAGTGCTAGACAGACTGAAGTTCCTGTTTAGCTTCGGAGGTCCAACGCGACCAGGTGCATTCAGTGGTGATTTGGTCGCAGGCAGAGAGAGAGAGAGCAGGATCTGGGAAGGGAGGGATCAGGGAGATTTGGGAGGGGGAGATCAGGGAGACCTGGGCGGGAGGGATCAGGGAGACCTGGGAGGGATCAGGGAGACCTGGGAGGAGGGATCAAGGAGACCTGGGAGGAGGGATCAAGGAGACCTGGGAGGGAGGAATCAGGGAGACCTGGGTGGGGGGGGGGGGGGGGGATCAGGGAGATTTGGGAGGGAGGGATCAGGGAGACCTGGGTGGGTGGGGGGGATCAGGGATACCTGGGAGGGAGGGATCAGGGAGACCTGGGTGGGAGGGATCAGGAAGACATGGGAGGGAGGAATCAGGGAGACCTGGGTGGGGGGGGGGGGGATCATGGAGACCTGGGAGGGAGGGGCCAGGGAGACCTGGGAGGGAGGGATCAGGGAAATCTGGGAGGGAGTGATCAGGAAGACCTGGTAGGGAGGGATCAGGGAAATCTGGGAGGGAGTGATCAGGGAAATCTGGGAGGGAGGGATCAGGGAGACCTGGGAGGGAGGGGCCAGGGAGACCTGGGAGGGAGGGATCAGGGAAATCTGGGAGGGAGGGATCAGGGAGACCTGGTTTGGAGGGATCAGGGATACCTGGGAGGGTGGGATCAAGGATACCTGGGAGGAGGGATCAGGGAGATCTGGGAAGGGAGGGGTCAGGGAGACCTGGGAAGAGAGGGGTCAGGGAGACCTGGGAGGGAGGGATCAGGGAGACCTGTGAGGGAGGGATCAGGGAGACCTGGGAGGGAGGGATCAGGGATACCTGGGAGGGAGGGGCCAGGGAGACCTGGGAGGGAGGGATCAGGGAAATCTGGGAGGGAGGGATCAGGGAGACCTGGGAGGGAGGGGCCAGGGAGACCTGGGAGGGAGGGATCAGGGAAATCTGGGAGGGAGGGATCAGGGAGACCTGGTTTGGAGGGATCAGGGATACCTGGGAGGGAGGGATCAAGGATACCTGGGAGGAGGGATCAGGGAGATCTGGGAAGGGAGGGGTCAGGGAGACCTGGGTAGGAGGGATCAGGGAGATCTGGGAAGAGAGGGGTCAGGGAGACCTGGGAGGGAGGGATCAGGGAGACCTGTGAGGGAGGGATCAGGGAGACCTGGGAGGGAGGGATCAGGGATACATGGGAGGGAGGGATCAGGGAGACCTGGGTGGGGGGGGGGGGATCAGGAAGATCTGGGAGGGGGGGATTTGGTGGACCTGGGAGCGAGGGTTAGCAGGACCTGGGCGGGAAAGAATTGGTCGACAGGGATGGAAACTGGAACGTGGGAGGTGCGGATCGCGGGCGCCCGGTCCGTGACTTCGCATTCCCCATCCCTAATGACCTCTTAATGTCGCGCGCGCGTGTAAATTAGGAAAAATAAAGGCAACGAGCGGGGTGGGCGGGGGGGGGGGGGGGAGAGGTCACGAGCGGTTACCCCGTGTCGCGTGGCGCGGTATCCATTATCAGCCTCGCTCGAAATCCACTGCTGGATGAAGCAGACCTCCGCCCCCCCACCCCTTTCCAACGCCGTGTCGGTCATGACCGATGTTTGACCATACTTCACCACTCTAGTCAGTGCGGGTTGTCGAAGTGGGGAGGTTTCCCAGCAACCGTTTCGGAGATAATTCGCCCTGATCGGGAATCAAACTCAAAACGCCACGTGCATGGCGCAGTGCGCTAACCATTGCACCACCGCTCCATTCAAATAATAATAGTATTATTAGTAATATTATTATAAATAATATTATTAATAATGCCCTTTTAATATACCCAGGGAAGCTCAAATTATTCTTAAGACTTTTTGTTTCCACGGCTACACGTGCCTCTCGACTTATGTGCACAAGTGGGTATCTGTACCCGTGTAGACGTGGCTGTACACGTTTGTACATGTGTACCTAGTTAACATCGAACGTTGGAAACCAACGTTGGGCCACCCACCCCCAAAGGCCAACGTTGCCGCAACGTTGCCTCCCAGCGTTTCATGTTAATTGGTATGTGTACACATATATGTAGACACATGCACATGTACAAGCATGCATTAAGGGGACTGTAATGGCTCAGTGGGCCTTACCTAATAATG